ATATGCTAGGAGCATTGGTCTGAAAGATAATATTAGTTTTAGTAGTTAGATAGTTGTTTATAAACTTGTAAAAAAATAAATGTAATTGACTCTTGATGATTAAGTAATATAGAATTACTTATGAGTATTGTCTACTATCTTTTGTCAATTGTTTATTATTGTGTTTTAATTTTGCATGTTTTTACTTCCATAATAATTGGATTATTCAAATATCCACAGTAGACCATACTTTTGGAAGTAAGTAGTGAATCCAGAAGGAGAATTATATTGTCACTTATCTTAAGACATGTAACTTACTAGGTCAGAGTTCGACAGCGGCTTTGAGAGCTACAATTTGATAATCAATTTTGAAGGATATACCGGAAACTATAGTTATTAGACTTATCCAAGTGGGAGACTGTTGGATTAGGTGTCCAAGCCCATAACTATAATTAGTATATACTTGAATTGATAGTAGCACCGTTCTTTTAGGTTGCCCTCAAAACTAGCAACTAGACAATATGATTTTGGAGAAAGAGGTTGATTTATTATTTAATTAATAAATTGAAATAAATAATTTTTTAAATATATTATGAGAATAATATATTAATTAGAAATAGTAATATTTAATTAATATTTAGTCATAAATTAATTGGAATTAATTTTGGGATTAAAAGAATTAATTAAAAGTGCAGGGACTAAATTATAATTGTTCAATAGTCGAGCAAGAGGCAATCTAGAACCCTCTATAGGCTATTGGCGATTTTCATATGCCTTAGGGTTTCTTGAATAGTCTTTATTGGATAATCAAGAAAGTTGATAATTATCCGGTTTAAGATAATAACTGCACTATAAGTAGGGACATAACCCTACAATTTTCGGCCACTTCTTCTAAGCAAGATCCAACCGAAATTTGCAACTTTCCTCCTCCTTCTCAATCGTTCTTCTATTGCTAGTGTTGGGTGTGATACATTAGAGGCGTGACAATTGTGACGCTTGTTCTTAAAGTCTCAACAACACTAAGGATTTTGATTGTTATTGCTATATAACAATCAAAGGTATGTTTTATAACCCTAATTGTGTAATTTTGATTACATACTAGTGTTCTAGAGTTTCTACATTGTTGTTCATATTGTATGTTCAATTAGAGAAAATGTAGATCAATTTTAGGGTTGCATGCACACATATGATTGTTTGTTATGCTTAAAATCCATCAATACACGCATATGACAACATAATACCTACAAAGAAAGGAAAGTGTTTACATACTAGCCAATTTAAGAGTGGTATGACCCAAAGACAGAGGGGATGCACATCAAGGTCCCACTTGGGAAACTTCACGTAAAAGTTGCTCAAACTGATAAGGCGTGAGAAGTTGCTTACGCTTTCGACTAGGAGAGAAAATATTTGTGGACACACCTTCCACTGAGTTAGAGAAACCATCGTGCGAAGGAACAATCAAAGGAGAAGAAGTCTCCATAAGTTAATCAACAAAAAAAGCATCCGGTCCAACCCCCGGAAGTCTAATAGGAGATTCAGGAACCACAATCACTAGGTTCACATCTCGGTTCGGAATTACATCATCCAACATAATAGATTCAGGAGAAATGTCACCAACCAAATATGACGACAACTGAAAGGATCATTTACTTCCATATACAACAATAAATGAGCAAAGAGAAAACATCCGAAGGCGATATTTATATCAAGAGATTACATAAGACAAAGGAAAGAAGAATTTATACCAAATCCAGTGAAAAGGTACAGATAGTTAAACAAACCTACACGACACACAGATAACACTGGCAGTTGACATCGATCTTTCCAAAAGGGGCTCATACGACACAAAGTAAGTACAATTTCTGACAAGAAAAAACTTTTTACACAAAAATGGGAAAACAAGGGTACAAACGAAAGCAAATCGTCAGACAAAGATATGAATCATCTCCAAACGGGACATAACAGGGAGTGAAAGGAAGACATAAGTTGTGCACATCTACCCAACAAAACCTACTCTTACAGTTACCATTGGAGCGAGATAAATCGGGAGAGATAGGGAAATGAAGATTACTAAAAGAATAATAATCACCATATCTCTTTAGACGATAAAAGTAGCAAAATAAAGTAACATCAAGTGGTATTTCGTGAGCAACACAAAAAACTTCAAAAGTTAGCACCTTCGATATTGTGTTAGGGCACAGTTGCATGAGATGAACTTTATAAAACCAAAGAACTTCCAAAAAGAAGGAAGAAGGATGTAACCTTAAACCACAAACAAGATGCCTAAGATAAAACCCAACCTTACCAAGCGAGGAATCAAGAACAGATGACGATGAAAACCAAGTATGGGAGTGATATAACTGTGTGTATCGATCAAGCATACAATTGTGCACTTCGGACACAACTGTCGACATGTCATCACCTATGGTAATCATAATGTTAGAGTCAAAAGGTGGATAAAAGATAAAGAAGCTTATAAACAAACCAGGTTTACCCGCTAAATAACAAGAGAGACCATTTAAAACATTTATTAAGAGAAATCTAATCAAAGCAGGAGAAATGACTTATAACGGCGCAAGCATTTAATGCCCTCCATGCGACACACGATTCAGTACCCAAGTCAGATCTTGAAGTATGAACAGAAAAAATATTTTGGCAATATTCTTTCACTCTTTAAAATGGGGGTCATAATGGTGTCCCAAGCTGATAGTCCGAGAGAATCCATTACCGACGTGGTACTTACCAAGATGGCAATGAAAACACCACAACCTGTCACAAACAAATCTAAATTCGAATAAACCGTACACAAGTCTCGGAACCATATCCCAAAAAACATGCAAAATAGATGGTACGTAACAATAAGATAACAAGAAAGGGACAAGTGACATGGTTGCCTACAGACTAGATAATAGATGAAGGACCAGACGAAACCATAAACTTTTCTAAAAACCAGTGGCATATAAATACCCCAAAGATATGATCTCCACGAAGGCACAAGGTAAGGCAAATTTTGTGTGTCTGTGTGTGTATATATATCATTAAGGCAACACTAAGATTTGCAATCTAACTTAGACGACAAAAAGCTATATCGGGGTCCAACCATCGGTATGACTGTCTGACATAGTAATTGTTCATCTTATGTGGAGCGGATTCTCGGGCGCTTATTAGACCAAGACCCATTTCGTGTTTATTTTTATGTATGTTTCCTACGTATGCGTCGGGCCATATATAATACGTTTTTGATTATTCAAATATTCATTTATTAATTAAAAAAACTCACTTGCTTATTTTTATGTACGTATCAGTAATAACTTCCAGTTCATTTACGTTATCGTGCTTATTTTAATGTATGTTTCCTATATATGAAATTGTCACATATAATACGTTTTCACTCGACAATATATCGGTATATACTGGATGTAGTCAATAGTATTGATTTTGTATATTTATCAACTAACAAATGCAACAATATCTAACTTTTATCAATATAATCATCAAAATTCAACTTACAAAGTGGATTTGCACCGTTACAACGAACGTTGGAAAAAAAAAAATCCTAATTTCCTATTATTTACTAACTAAATGTTCATAAAAATCGATTTTGAAACGCATCGTTAACCAGTTCATTTTTTAAGATAAACTCATCAACAATACTTGCATCAGAAAGTTTGCATCCATATAGATATGATGTATGGTCTATCACTTTGCACACTCTGGGTGTGTTTCATATGGAGCGGTTGAGAGTGTTTGAAAGTTTCTAGCTTCTATCGTTTGACAAAATGTTCCGTTTTGAGCAAAAAAACATTGTTTGACAATACATGCTTCTAGCGTTAGGTTAAACAAAACACTCAAAATCTAAAAACTAATTCACGTAGCGTTTAACAAAATGCTACCAGCTATCCGCTACCCGTTATCCGTTACCAGCTAGTTTTACCGAACACACAATTTACAAAATATTAATTCCTTTTTACATGTTATCTATCTCACACAAAGTTGGTATACACATAATTTTTTTTTTCTCTCTATATAACATTTATTATCAAAATCTTACAAAATCTAATAATAATACCCAATTGTCAGAAACATGCTTAACAATTGCTCTCACCAAGCTTCTCCTATAGCGTTGTCTACCATGACAACATGATTGACCCTCATTATCCATCACACAATATCTTTCTCAAAATATAAACCAAGATACTTACTTTATGTATAAGAATATAAATATAAACCAAGATACTAACTTTATGTATAAGAATACAAGATATACGTCTCTTATTTAAAACCATTATTAAATAATCAAAAGTTATGTTGATTGGTTGAAACATCTAAAATTTATTATTTATTGTATTGATAATGAAAATGTTTTACACAAATTAACCATGCTAAAACACGTAAAATTTATTATTTATTGTATCTTGAACTCAACAATTTGTATTATATTACCTTGTATAAATTATGTGGGCACACACAAAGCATGAAACTGAGAAGGAAATAATTTTGTATGATGGCCTAGGGTCAAAGAGTGGAATACATAACATGTTCATTAGGTTCCTCCAATTGGCATCTATAAATACATAACTTTGTTTCTTTATCATCATCAGTCTCACCTCATATCATCCAATCTTTTCTTATCAATTTATCACCTTTGTGTGTGGAAGAAATCCATGAAGCTCAGGAGGGATAGCATCCGAAACAAATCTTTTACTCTATAGATTGTTTCTGACGCTATCCATCCTAAGCGTCATAGATTTTTCATACTGTGCATTCCACTTGATCTGATCCCAACACACATATATAGATAATTTTTCTGAATCAATTAGCATTCAACTAGTCTGATAGAGCCTTTGAATGATCTTTGAACAAATCAAAAACTTCTGAAAGGTTAAGGAACTCTAGATGTTAAGTTTTATCGTTATTCTTATATGGTAGATTCACATTGTTATGCTTATTGGTAGATTCACATTTTTATTACATATGAAACTAGTGGTTTACATAATTGATGTAAGAGAAAAGAATTTAGTGTAATGAATAAAGTAATTAAGCCGATATGTTGAAAAAATTCAAACTGAATGATGTTTTATTGTTACGAAAAGAATCAACGAATTCAATGTATCTACACACTTTATAACTTATACAATCAATCAATCATATACGTATATATCTTACAAAAGAATAATGCTTCTTGTCCTCCATCTCTATCCTTCATTCACTTTTTGATGAAACTCCGGCGACCTCCACAGCAGCATCATCAGAAGTCTGACCAACCTCCGGTTTAATCTCCTCAAGCTTTTCGAGGACTTGTTTTGCTTCCGGCCTTTCTTCCGGCGAAGGATCCACACAGTGCATAGCCAATTTCAAAGTACTCAACAACTCATCACCACCAACATTCGCCGGATCCCCCATAAGTTCCAAATCAAAAACCTCATTCGTCCACTCTTCTTTCACAATCGACGCCACCCACTGAGGCAAATCCAGTCCATCTGTTGCTTCGCTGGGAGATTTTCCGGTCAACATCTCCAACATAATCACACCCAAACTGTACACATCGGTTCTCGTGTTTGATTTCTTCAGCTTTGAAAGCTCCGGCGCTCTGTAACCTAGGGTTCCGGCGGTTGCAATCACGTTTGTGTTGGCTGCGTTTGTCATCAATCTCGATAAACCCACATCTGCAATTGCGGGGTTTGTCTGTTCATCGAGTAACACGTTGCTTGAAGTTAGGTTTCCATGGATTATGTTCTCTTGGCTATGGAGGAACACCAGGCCTTTTGTTATACCCACGATTATGTTCAATCTTGTTGACCAGTTTATCACACTTTCAGGCCCACGAGCTGTAAGAATCGATTCAAAAATAAACATCGATCAGAAGATATTCATAATAATCAATCACAATTTGGATATAATAAGGTTATATAAACAAGGAACATACCATGGAGGAAGGAAGCAAGACTGCCACGTGGCATGTAATCAAATACAAGAAGCTTCTCTCCTTTAGGTCCCATATAATATGCTCTAAGGGCCAATACATTCGCATGTCGAATCTTTCCAAGCTCAGAAACTTCACTCTCAAATTCTTTCTGTGCTTTTGTAACTTTTTCTCTTAATCTTTTAACAGCAACCATATTACCATCTTCTAATGTGGCCTTATAAGATGTTCCATATGTACTCTTTCCCATTATTTCAGCAGTTGCACATAACAAATCATCAGCAGTGAACACAAAAGCGCCTGAGAAATGGACCAGTTTGCCCCCGGTTTCACCTGTTTCTACTACTTCACCCCCGGATGGAACTGTTACCGGCATTGAAATGTCGGTTTTGCCCTTCTTGGATTTGGATCTTGCTGCTTTCTTTCGGATTAGGCAACAGAGAAGTGAGCAGCATAAGAGAAGCAAAACAAGCAAAAGGGCTCCTGCTGCTATGAGGATGATATCTTTTGTGCTAAGTTTTCGGCCTTTTTTGTTTTTGTTTGAAGGGAGAACAAGTGGAGAAGATGGAGAAGGTGAAATGGTGGAAGAAGGGCATTGTGTGGAAATGCTGTATCCACATAACTGGAGATTACCCACGAAAGAACTTGAATTGAATTTCTTTGAAAGTGAAGAAGGAACAGCCCCGGAAAGAGAGTTGTAAGAAAGATTCAAAGAATCAAGTTTCTTCAAATTATCAATGGATTTAGGGATTCCGCCATTGAAACCGTTGTGGGATAAGCTGAGTTTGGTGAGAAAAGAAAGGTTTCCAATGGTATCAGGAATTGGACCATTCAATCTGTTGTTATCCAATATCAGAACCGAAAGATTAGAAGAAGTAAAAGAAGGAAAGCTTCCATTAATGGCGTTGTTTGACAAATCCAAGATTTGAAGCTTAGAGAGATTCGCAAGTTCATTTGGTATAATCCCATCAATGTGATTATGGCCAAGATTAATCTTTTCGAGATCACCCATCTTACTCAATGAAGTTGGAATCTTTCCAGTGAGAAAATTATGATCGAGAGTCAAAGATGTGAGTTGACCAGAGCTCCAGGCGTCAGGAATGGAACCCGAGAGATTGTTGTGTTCGAGAGCTAGGAATGTGAGTGAAGGCAAAAGGGTAAAACTTGGTGGTATGGAGCCAGAAAAGGCATTATAACTGAGGTTAAATCTGTAAATTTTACTCGAATTCGAGAAAATGTGAGGGATGGAACCATTGAGCTTATTGTTGCTCAAATCGAGATTCTGCAACGATGGTGATCGAGCAATAGATTGTGGGATTGAACCTGAAAGCCGATTGTTGAAGAGATAAACGCCTCGTAGATTTGGTAAGAGCCATAGAGATTGCGGAATAGGGCCTGTTAATAAGTTGTCATGGAGGCTGATTCTTCGGAGTGATTGGAGATTTCCCAGTTTTGACGAGATCATGCCGCCTAATCCCTTCCATGGAAGCTGTATCGCGATGACTTGACCTTGATCACACTTGATGCCTACCCATCCACCTGAGCAAACGCCATTTCTGTCTTTCCAGGTCCTCAAGACTCCTCTGAAATCAACGAAATCTTGTTTGATGGATTGGAGAGCTGAATAATCTGAAAGTGTAACGGCTACCACTTCATCGGACGACTTACCTGAAACGAGATGAGAAGAGAGAATAAGAAGAGTAAGCAAAAAAAGTGCTGTAATGTTGGCTGAATTCCTGTTGAAACAAACGGATTTTAGCTCGTTTATGTAGTCCAAGTGTTTGCGAAAATGACTCAATGAGCCCTTTCGAGTTTCCATGCAGAGAAACATCGAAAATCAGAAAACAAACACTTGGTAAAATCAAAACCAAAATCTATTCCTTATTTGAAAATGTTTCCTTTTTTCTTCAGATTGATACTAAAATAGATTGAAAAAAAAAGGGTATTAATGATTAAAAAGATGAACGCAGTTGTCTTCGATTTGTGATAAATCAAACTATTTTAGATATCAATCTTCCAGGCCGAGATAAGAAACAGAGAGAGAAGGTGAGAGAGAGAATTGATGAAAAACTGAGCAACGAAGGAGGTCGATATTTAATAGAGAGAGTGTAGGTAAAAGAGTTGATGCGAGTATTATTTTAGGGTTTTAGAGGAGATCGAAGACAAAAGGGGCAGAAGATGCCATTTTCAGAAGGTCTTGGGTTTACGTTGAGGGTAGAAGGGGGCAACGGCTAGTGAGAAATTATGGACGCACCGCACATGCACCATATACAGATGCTTTGACCGTCTCCAACGGCTATATTTTTTGTAGCCCTCACTCACGTTATGCCTTTGTTCTTGAACTTGTAGTCTTGTACCCCTATCAATCATTTTCATTAAAAAGTGTAATGTTTTCTCAAAATCTACATAATTGATATTTAATTCCACTTCATATTAGACCCGCTAATCCGTTTTCTTCTCAATTAAATCTAGTTTTTTTTCTTTTTTTTTTTTAAATATAAAATAAAACAAATCCAAGAAATGTATCAAGTTTCTTTGTCAATATAACTTATTTGGGCTGCATCAAAAGATGTCGATCATATTAAAGGTACACAAAACAACAGTTTGAAGCGAATCTTGCACTTTGGGGTCGGTTTGAGATATGAAAGGTTGGAATTGGTTTTGATGAAAAGTTCTGCATATCGATCAACTAAAAAACTGGTTTTTAAAACATTTGATGAAATAGACTCAGTTATGTTTTTTACTGTGATATATGTATGGTATGAAATATTTTGTGAAATTACTAAGTTTTGTGCTTAATTGCTTACGTTTTTTATGTTTATGGTTTCATGTACTTTTGTTTTCAAATGAAAGGTCTGACTTGATCGCATTGCGTCCCGTGGAGATTTATTCTGCATTGACTATTTATAATTTTACTCTGATGTTTTCAGATATTTTTATTATGACCTACATTTGGAATAATGAATGAATGGTTTCGATTTATTTAAAAATGAATTTTGTTTACTTGGTATTTTTGTAGTGTTACACATGTTTACATGAATTAGCTCAACATCTATAATACAACAGAAAATACAACATACCAATAATATGAAAAATGATACTAATGAGAAATAAATGTATTGTAGTGTTTATTTATTTATTTATTTTAGTGTTTCGTTAGATAAAAAAAAATAGAATTTAAAGATTTCATTAGACATGTTGATTAATATGATTTTAGATAAATATTTATCTTACATCATATATGACCCCCCACCCCCACCCCACCCCCACCCCCTCTACACACACATACTAATTACATTTCAACTATTATATTTCATAATTTTCTCTTCCTATCAAGTAACAATGTACTTTGACTTTTATACAAATTCACAAAATCAAACCCATAAAATCTCTTTGAACATAACTAACTTTAATTTATATTAACTAACATAAAAAATATAGATTTCATGAATAAAACAAAGCAAGACCCCATTTTATTCTTAAAAAACACTGTAATATGTATTTTCATAGATTAGATAATATATGGGAGATGATTTGTACACAACAATTTTTCTCCATACACAACAATTGATGCTTTAAAATGTTGTATTGCACAACTCTATAATGCATAAATTGTTGTGTACGGTAAAAAACTGTTGTGTACGAATCACTTCCCATAATATATATCTTCTTGCAAAAAATAAAAGTTCTATCGATTTCTTCATTTCAAACACACAAGTGACTACAAAAAGATAATATTAATGGAAGTTAGCAAATAATGGAGCTATTAAATGAAATCCTAAGGGGAGTTAGCAAAAATACGAACGTGTTTTTAGGTCTTTGTTTCTTTTATCTCATTCCTTAAGCCCCAACAACTCGATTTACCTCAATAAACCATATACAAGAATGCCATAATCACTAACTACCACAAGTTAAAAAAAAAACCTCTTAATTTGTAATGAATAATTAGTTGAATGGCTTTATGATTAATCAATCAATTAAGTGGAATGAGTTGTAAACACTCATTAATAGAGTAGTTTAAAATACCATTTTGGAACATTTATTTTGAATTTCAAAAGTTTTAGAGATCAAATTACATAAATAAATGTCCTAAATTATATATAAAAAAAATCGTTTTAATTTAAACATGACTGTAACTAAACTTTAAGTTTAACCATAAAAACTATGGTCTTTAAATTGTCCTTGCTAAGGCAAGTTTGTAAATCTTCAATATGAGCACATATCAAAATAAGTTGGATGATGAAATTGCTTGTTAGATGTGACATCCCCATTTTTACGGTCAGAAAAAACCGATTTTATTTATGCTTTATAAATATAGAGTACATTTTTTAATAAAAATGTTGCAGAATTTGTTTCCAGTAAAACATGATAAATACGTTATCAAAGTATTTCCGAAGAAAGGTATTTTTATTCATTTTAAAACATTTGAGATGTCATCGTCAATACAGTAACATAAGCATAAACAAAACTTACATTCATTATCACTAGTGATTTATATCTCCTTAATCTCTCAGTGTAATGTGACTTCATATCAACACATGTGATATAAATAAACTGAGTGAGTCAGGTTGGGAAACCTGGTGAGTACATAAGGTTTTCAACCCACAATAATATAATTATTATGTTTAATCATCAAACAGTTAACCCAATTACCCATTCTCACTATCTTCTTTACTCTTAAGGATCTACCATAAGAATCAGCTTTTTCTCATTCATTCATTCCTTAGGATTATCCTAAGGAATATGTACAAACTCCATCGCTGTCAATGACACAGTTGTCAAGCACAACTGCTAGTTATATCACTTAGGTGCAACTGCTAGAATTATGACATTCTCTATGAGGCGCAACTGTCGGTATTGTCTTTCGGGCATAACTGCTAGGGTTATCTCGTTTCTCGACAATATCGTTTTCGAGAGTCCACTCGCAATACATGTCAATGGGTTTTTAGAGTACACCGGTGAACACATCGTTCACAACACCTACATGTTGCGAGCCTGCTAGTGTTCCACTGGACTGTTTAGAATAGTCTGTGGTTTTCATCCATACTCTGCTGGATGACGGGGCCAACATTTGGGAACAAGGTTTCTCACATCGTCCACCTCTCACCCTTACCTCATGGTCTATATCACCTATCAACTCATCATCCAACTCATATTTCATCTACCCATATTTTACCCAACATATTATGTAGATATAAATACATATACAGTTTAAATCATATAAAACTTGTATAAAATCGTTCATCCAACATAGATAGCAAGTATACATAAAGTATACATATAATATGCACACATAGCATGTAGTTTATATAAAATACTTCATATCTATGTGTAAGATGAAAGGGACCATGCACTCACTTGAAATGGTAGTGACTCGGCACTCGGACAACACTTCGTTACTCTTAACACGATTTTCCTTTGACAAAACCTAGCATCATTACCACTAGAGTTTAGTTTAATATTCACCGAGACTAATTAATAGTCTTGCTATTATTACTATTATATAAGCACGAAACAATATTTCTCAACCACTATATACAGACTGGAGCCAGACATAAAACACTAGAGGGCAGGACCATTTTGGCATATAACACTTCCGAAATCCAACAACCATATGCGGCCCTTTAAACCAGATTCCCCGTACCGCGAGTGGTTAAAAAGATATTATAACGACACTTATATAACTCATAATAATAGCCCAAATACTTATTATAAGGTCATAATAACATTACTATGTTGAAACATAAGATATACTAACGATGAGGTAGGCGTAGCTCACTTACAGCGGGTTTTCTCGAAAACCGGGCTTCGTTGGAACAGCATTTCCGAGCCGAAAAGCTCTTTTATCAGGGATTAGGGAGCCTCGGGGCTTCCTTCGGGTGCTAGGGGGTTTACCTAGGCTTAGGGGGGGTTTTGGGGGCTTAGAGAGAGAAAGTAGAGAGAGGAAGTGAAGTTGGGAAGGTGTGAATAATAAGGGAACTTGGCACCTCTGTTTATAGGCTGGAATCCTACTCTACTCGTTGAGTCCATGGCCAGGTGTCACCATCTGGTGGCTTGCCTTGGGGAGAAAGCCTTGGCCCATATTCAGTCAGATCACCCGATTTCGCACAACAACCTGTCGACTTCTAAACACTGTAACTTTCTCATACGAGCTCTGTTTTTTACGTTCTTTATATCCACGTGTAGGTATTAACAAGATCTACAACTTTCATTTAGACTCTGTTAGCTAATTCTCGACCGATCTTAAATTTAACAGTAGGAGGAGATTATATTGTTAAATATCTGCATAAAATTCGTAACTTCTACATACGGACTCCGTTTTCGTCTGTCTTTTTATCATGGAGTTCCTATTAATGAGATTTTCAACTCTCATTTATGTCGCGTTGGCCAAAAACCACTCGAACTAAAATTCGAGTTTCGGGTCGTGCACTGCTATGTCAAATCTTAGAAAATTCATAACTTCCTTATACGAAGTCAGATTTGGGTCTTTTTTTGTATGTTGTCAGTTTAACATATGCTAAAAAAAAATTTAGATCACTAAGGCTAAAAATCCCTTTATCAAAAATTCACTATTTATGTATCTCGGTGTCATGTCGGTTTTGCAGTAAAACTTCGACGAGCCATAACTTCTTCGTTATAACTCGGATTTCGGTGTTCCTTATATTTACGGAACCTTTGTAACATATGATAAAACTTGGTTAAGATTAATCATTCCAAATATCTTCCATTAAAAACTCATTTTTGACGCTCATTGCCTCTAAATTGACTAGTCCGGATCTACGGGCGTTACATTAGAATATCCGAGATTGACTCCTTAGAGTAATAAGTGACACTCTCAAATGAGAGATCATGGGTTCAAGTCTCATTAGGAGACATAGGTGGTTTTAGGAGTAACTTATAGTGCTGGTTAAAAAAAATAAAATAATAAAATAATAAAATAGTACTCAAGTCAAACCCTCAAAATCAATTGAAATCAATAAAGCAACAATGATCAATATTCCATATATAAGGGTTTTAAGACCCAAAAGTCAAAGTCAAAACCAACAATGAAAGTCAATGACTTTATTAAAGTCAAAATAAAGAGGTTTATTAACCTATAAATACAAATTCAGCCCATAAGTCAAAACAATGATTTATGGTCCATATATTCAAAATCAAGTTCATTCAAATTACACTAAAATGATTAGACAAATATGATGGTTTTAATGCAAAAGAACATCCTATA